CACAATTTAAAAGCATCAATTCTTTTGTGGTCAGCCTTCTTTATGGTCCAGCTCTCACTTCCATACATTGCTGCTGGAAAAACCGTAGCTTTGATTATGCGGACCTTTGGCGGCAAGTCTCTGCTTTTTAAAATGCTGTCAAGATTTGTCATCGCTTTCCTCCCAAGAAGCAGGTGTCTTTTAATTTCGTGGCTGCTGTCACCATCTGCAGTGATCATGGAGCCCAACAAGGTAAAATCTGTAACTGCCTCAATATGTTCCCCTTCTATTTGCCAGGAGGGGATGGGACCAGTAACAGGGACCAGTGGCCATGATCTTAGTTTTTGTGATGTTGAGATTCAGACCATCTTTTGCGCAAAAAGCCTGCTACAAAATCAGATTTGAAAGTGAAAAAGATGAGATAAGGTTTGTTTGGATATTGGAGATTTACTTAAAAGGACTGAATATCAACCGAGGATATTTAAGTCGTCATCAAGTGTGAAATCCTATATTGATTCCCACAGTTTGCCACCTATTGTCTACTACGGTGCTGTTACCTTGTAGACTGATAATTGATATTATTCACAGCCTGACAGCTATTCCTTTACTTATGAACCACTGTCACTTTGCTTATTATCTATATCCCCACTTGGACAGGATACCATATATAAATATGACAGTCATTAACTGTTACTCTTATGTTGGAAGAAGTGGACTTTATCCATGAAAGCTCATATTAAAATATAACAGTCTTTAAGATCCTGCAATATTTTAGCCTGAAATCTTTTGCACGCATGACAAATGTATACAAGAAAGAAAACAACCACCATTATATCCGTTGCTAAACTGGATGCCACTGGGTAAAATGCATATTCTGTCATAGTCAACATTTCTTTAATTATGTATGAAGTACAGTGTAAGCTTTGTTGCTGTTCCCTATCCAGTCCTCCTGCACACAATCCATTGCTTTGGACCTGTGGCCAATGACACTTGAAATCATTTTATCATCACTGTCCAAACAGCCACGGAAAAGAGTGGCTCGAGAGTTGCAAACCACCATAAAGATCTAGTTTCTTCAATAATTGTCTTTGACAGCAACTGATAAACGGAAGATAACATGCTTCGACACAACCTGTTCTGCTGTAATGATAGAGGTGACATGAAAGCATTGCTAAATAGTCTGGTGCTTAGGCCTCAGTCTTCTAGATTTGTGTCAGTGGGGACTGAATTACTGAGCTGCTTTGTCTGACAGAGAGACATGTCTGTTGGCAGATGGCTCATTGTCCCCCCTCCGTTGTTAGTTGTGCTAATAGTGTGGATGACAACTGTCTGGCATTGCAACAGCTAATTAAATTGCCCGAACAGTACAAAAATCAAAGATTGCAGATACTGGAGAAACACATTTGGTTATCTGAGCTTCAAATGGGAAACAAATTCTTATTGTTATAAGAACGAGAGGGCAAAGCTCCAGTGACTTTCTGTTTCCTTTAAACATTTTTTTCATTAGCAGGGGAAACCACAGAGCAAGGACAGATCAATCAATTGCTAGTCAAATGTGACAGAAACAGAGGAGGAAAAAGGAGGAACCTACAAGAGGAGAGAGAGAGGAAAAGAGAGACCGATTTCTTTGAAAGGAGCAATACTTTTCATGCCATTGGCAGCATACACTATAGAGCTGCACACTAACCAAGGAGTCCTGCCAGTTCCAAAGCAACACTGGGCTAGCACTGAGCAAGTACAATCCACGGCTGCATCCCTTTTGATTTTCCCCTCAGAAAACAAAGCTGTATGGCAGTTGTCTTAATCAAAAGATGCCAAGCAGAGGAGATAGGCCTATATTGAAACAGAGCTGGCATTTCTCACTGGACCCTGATATGGGAGATGACCACCACGTCTTTATTGGGCTGTTGCAGAAAACAAGAAGAGTGCTTTCTCTTTCTTGAAAGCATGGGAAAATGCATGTCCTATTCACCTTGAACAGACAGCAGTGCTAGGCTTAGAAAAGTGTCTTCAATCAATAGTCTCCTTTGGGTTCAATAATTTTCCAAGCACGGAGACTTTAAATCCTTCCAGTAAAACCTAATAGTTTCCAGATACAGGCAGAACATCCTTTCTTCCCAATACAGTGAGGCAATGTAAGATATAATCTGATTTTTTTTCATTTAAGAAGAGAGGCAAAATTTTCCAATGGTCCAAGCATTGGAACATATATTAAAATATTACTGTCTATAATGTTCTGCAGGCAGACTTCCATTCTTCTCTCGACGTCCTCACAGATCAGTACACTCCAAAACCTGCACAAGCTTCCCTCTTCAGAGAAGATTTTTGGGAAAGCAGTCAGTTGAAAAAGGGGAGTAAACATCCCTTCCCTGTTCTGATGAGGGCTGCCTGCTCTGACAGCAAGATGAATTATGGGGATACCATTGTAAAGCTTCTTTATTCCAGCTTTCTCCTAAGACTCAAGGCAGCTCACAAAGAGATAATTCTCCATATTACAGGTAAGCCAATGTTTAAGATCACTATGGATAGCCTTGAATAATTCATGTGGCTTGCTGGTTTAAAATGAAAGAAGTCCATATACTTTTTTTTTTGCTCACATCATTATTTCTATACATTTACATGCCAACAGAATTGGTCCATGCCTTTTGTTGTACATGTCAGAGGACTATTATAAAGGTACAAAACCCTGAATTGCTAAACTAGAGCAATAAGTCAAGACCACAGAGGAGACAAGAGTTACTCTTTACCTCTCATACAAGGTTCACATTTAGAAATGCCAGACAGAACTTGCAGTGCAATCCCATGAATGAATCTTACAAGCACACGTATAAAAAAAGGTGCTTGATCTTCCTCTCAATCTAAAAGCCTTCCAATAGCAGACTTGCAAATGTTGCTTGCCTTTACTGTACTGCATTGACAAGAGACAGATGATGATTTGTACCTTATTCAGAAGGCAAAGAATATGTAACATTCACATTCCAAAGTACCGTACTCTTCTTTCTGCTAACTGCCCTTAGCTGCCAGGAACATAGTTCATCATAACCCGTTTTTAGGAGGAAAAAAGTAATGATTCTCAAGTATTCCTAAATACCTAAATGAATTGGTTAATGATTTTCCATCCCATGACAACCTGCTCATATTTGAAGTTCACCTGAAATAAGCAGTATATTGTACTAACACTAAAAGTACAAACCATGCTGTAAATGCAAGCAGAATATGACCATCTTTGACTCTGTAATACAACCTGTCTCTTTGCTCATGCCTGGAAAATGAACTGCTATACGTCAGCAACATGAATCTCAATCTGCTGTGCACTATAATATTCACCAAATGCTGTAGGAGTACACATAAATTTTAACAATTCCTCCAGGGACAGGGTTGAATAATTAAAATTTTCAAGGCTTGGTCCACAGAAAATCATCTGTAATATACACAGGAATTTAACCATTTTTTCTCCCTGGACAAGTATTTCAGAAATAATTTGTGAGTGTCTTTGCATTCAGCCACTGTTTTACAATACAACTGCTCAACCCACTGTCTATACTGTACAGCTTTTCCTCCTGATATTCTGTAATGGGAAAATCATAATACATTTGATTCACACAGCCTAGTTATATCTATTATGATGGTATAAAGATATTACACAGCAACTGGTGGGAATGCTTTTCAACATGGTTGCTGTCCATACATTCTGTTCCTTACACCATTTTGTGAATCCAGAACTGCACAACTTATGATTCAGCAAAACAAATACACTCCTCATCTGAGGTGTTGTGCTTCTGCCCTACCTGTGTTACCACAATTCTAGCCACAGAGTGACATCACTGTTTTTTTTTTCTCTTCCTGCTATAGATAGTCTAGCATTGGTGGCAAGATGGTTGTGGCAAAGTGGCCACACAGATTAGGGAAGAAAGGCTTAGACAAGCCAGTATGAACCTTTTCTTCCACTCACTTTTAGTTTTATCCTTTGGAGCTGCCAGACAGCTTCATGGAAACAGACTTGATCACTGGGTGAGGAAATGAACCCCTGTGGTCTGTGTGCCCCCCGAGCCTCCAGCACCCTAATGATTTTGGTTGTTTACTTAAAATGCTGTAGGGCAGCAGTGTTTTGGCTCCCTGCCCTGTTTTAGGCTGTTGCCCCCACCCCAAGCTTGAAAAAGGGCCCTTCCAAGACATAAAACAACTCAGGGAGGGCCAATACCAGCAGAAACTAAAGTAAAAATATACTTTAGTTATGGGGAAAGGGGCCAAAATCCCACATGGGGTTGTGTATGCACATGTGTTCCCTTTGAATCTCCAGAAGATGCTGATATCTCCTTTAAAATACAATGAACCTTCAGCAAGTGTGTCTCCCAATAAACATCTCATCTGCTGCTTTATTCTATCTCTATTTGACTGTCTGGAATTTGGGTGTTCCTGCCTGGGAGCACATGAACAGCCAGACTGATATATAGGTCTCTGAAATAACTTATATTCCTCTTTAAATGGAGCTGCTGACTGTAGAGTTGTATCTGAAAGTCACCTGTGGGATGATGCAGGGATGTGAAAACATGCTTTCATTGACTGGCAGAAATGGCAAAGTAAAAACAACCAACCAAAACAAGCCATTCTCCCCCAAACCATTTATTGGCTTTTGGGAGATTTTCTTATCAATCAGCTAGACAAAGCGCTCTGGATTTTGTCATATCAAAACTTAATTCTTTCATTTCTTTAAAAAAAATGACCCAAGAGACACACATCCTATTTCCTTTAAGGCTGTATAAAGCAATGCACTCTTTAAAAACGGCACCCTGTCTTTTAGTTTTTTAAAAATTGACAAGTCAGCTAAAGGTTTGTTTCTCTTAATGCATAGGGTAAATAGGTTTTCTGGAGGAGTAATCCAATTTCTCAAATTTAATTTCACAAAGATGCTACATAATATCCATTACAGCAAACACGGTCCTACAGATTTGATTAGTGGCCTCTCTGGACCTGCTTATTCCTGAGCCGAAAGTGCAGGGCAGCCGGGATAAATGAATTACCTGAGCAACGGAACTTCTTGCTCTTGATCTGGCTGATTCGTTTGTTGGCAAGGCGACGTGGGCTGCTGCATCGAGCGCCGCTGGTTTCTATTGGATTATCCTGCAGGTAATCAGCCAGCCACTTCAAATGGCAGTCGCACACAAATGGATTCTGAGCTAAATGCCTGCAAGAGGGATGGGATGTTTAACCAGAAGTGACCTGTGACACTGTACTCCATCATCGTATTTTTACGAACACAAAACTGAAGAGTGGAGTAATTGAATCAGCTTCCAATACACAAGGCCTGGCGGAAGGTGCAGGGAGCAGCAGCTGAATGGGAGAAATTCTATGAGCCATCTTCCCCCTCCCCCCACCTTAGCTCATTAAATCCACAGTGAACCTCCTCTAAGAAGGAAACAAAAATTAATATAGCAAAGCCCGCTTTTAAAGGGCATAGGCCTTCTGTCTACAACAGCTACGGCTTTCAGTGGTGAGCCTCACACAAGATGTTACAGCCAAAAGATCTTTTTTTCAGAAACAGAAAGTTTGGAGGAACTTTTATCACAGATCTAGTTTTCTAGAAATCAGAGCATATGCAAGTAAAGCTAAGTTCTCCCAGGCCAGTAGGTATAGCTGATAGATCAAACAGAGGACTGCTCTTAATGACTGAATTGAAAATGTAATCATATCAGTCAAGATATGGTTCCATGCCATGAATCTGACCTGGAATGTATTTACTGTTCTGCACTAAATTTAACTTTTCAAACACCATTAGCCATGACTAATATGCTTACAAAAGGGTAGGGAATATCTGACAAGCCAACACTAGTTTTGAAGGGCTTGAATTTAACCATCCAGCAACAAGATCATTTATATTTAATCTGTGGAAACATCTATTATGTTGTATTATCTGGGACTGTTCTCCCGCTTGGCATTACGAATGAATAAAGGAGGGGAAAAAGTCTCTCCTTTTTGTTAATCAAATAACAAAAAAGATTATCATGAGCCCCACAGATTTTTTTTTCATGAATGTATAGCACTCCCTGAATTCCCTGAGCATTTTTCAATGTTTTAATGTATAGAACAAATTTATCTACAGATCCGAATTATTGCTACATGCATAACAGCCAAATAAAGTGGTATGTACAGGTGAAGTATCCCAGGAACATTTCCAAATAGCCACTGATGCAACAATCAGCTACTAACATGCTCTTTGTGTGGATTAACTTGTACTATGTGGTGTGTTTCCATGCCAAGAATATTTGATTGCAGGGTCCTTGAAGCCAAATTAATCAATGTGGCAGATTGGTGTACACAAAGTAGATCACATTATAGAACTACTGCTGTTTTTAGGAGGCTTTCTGTGATTCCCTAAAGCAGCTGCTCCATACAATTAACCATTTTGTGTGCAGAGGACATAAATGTATATGGTTTTGGTCACTGTGTAACAGAAGGGATTGTTACACAGCCTACAGTCCAACCAGGGGAGGTGCCTTATCCTAAAATGAAGACAGAGAGGAGAATGGTTTCCTGCTTGGGCCATGAGCATCTTGTGTAGTTAGTGCCACTGAAATGCTCGTAATGTTTAAGTGACTGAGTTGTTGAGGGAGCAAGAAAAGAGAGAATACATGAATCAGCTTTAAACTCTCTCTTCTGACCTCAGGAAGTTCCACTTAATAATATTTTAACCAAAAGCAGTTCTCATGGAGCCAAGCCGCCTCGCTCTTAAAAACAAAACAAAACACAATCCCTCACAGTTTTGTGATGAACAGTTATCCAAGAAAGTGTCAAAAATGGTATATACAACATATCTAATAAAAATAAAACAATTCTGACTCCTTTCTTCATCTTTAAAATATGATACCACATTTCATTGCAAGACACAAAGGAAACAAAAATATATGAAATTGATATTTTGAAAAATAATGTTTTAACAGGGACTACATGACCAAAAAAATGTATGGTGATATGCAGCATTTATTCAGATAGTGGGAATATAATTGTGAAATGAATTTCATTTCACTTGAGATATAGAACGTTCCACAAGATTGACAGTGAAAATTTTAGTTACACAAAGTCTTTAACCAAATGTTTCTAAAGGGAAGTAATTTGAGACCAAGATGGAAGAAAATAATTTAAATGTGAAATAGAATCCAATGGATCTTTGGTGCCTGGCTTTGGAGTTCATTTTTTAAACATCATACAATAGGTTGTACAAGCATCTTCTCTCACACTGTTGCAATGAAAGGGAAATTTATTCAGGGTGGGAATGGGAGCTTGGTTCCGATCTTGTCAACTGCAACAGTACTTACTGTTGTCTCAAACTGTTTGTGTTAGTGATGAAAATGGAAAAAAAAAACCTTATCCTTTGTTTTTATTTTTAGAAAACTAATAAAATAGGCAATTTTTAAAAAAGATACTACCAGCAATTTCCCACTTCCCAAGGTTCTTCAGCTCCCCACTCCCTCCAGGCTGTCACTTTTGTGTGCTGAAAGTGACAATAGAGGATGAGGATAGGGTGTTCCTCTCCTTGCATGTAGGTCCTAGATGCTTATCTAGCAACTGAATAGGTCTATTGTGCATTCAGATATAATATTACTCAGACATAGGAGATTGAGACAGGAGCACAGAATTATACATGTCCTGGATCTATGCAGGCATTTACAAGGAACATCCTCTGATGGAGAATGCAGACATGAGATGCAATATTCCTGGATACTCACAGAGTTTGAATTGATTGGAGAGGCGTGAAAAGCCCTTTGCTGATAGTCTGGAGTTTATTGTCATAGAGAGATAACAAATTGAGATTATGCAGATCTTGAAATGTGTTTACCCGCAGACAATTGATTTTATTCGCATTGAGAAGACTGCAAATACAAAAAAAGACAACAAAACAGATATTTATATTTGTGAGGGCAACATAAAGGAATTTATTTATTTTTTTATTTATTTATTTATTTATTTATTTATTTATTTATTTATTTATTTATTTATTTATTTATTTATTTATTTATTTATTTATTTAAAAAATGTATGACACCTTTCTCCCAAAGGATCAAAGGCAATTTACAGCATTAAAAAAAATCAAAGTTAAAAAGCAAATAGTAAATTATTACAATATTACAAAGCATTAAAAACTATCATATTAAAAACTCCTAAGAGCAATATTAAAAATACAAGTAAAACACAGAATAAAATGAAAACTGAGTGCTGTGACTAGACACAGACACGTTCTTACATTGAGAAAGTGATTATTATGTAAAGGTAAAGGTAAAGGTTCCCCTTGACAATTTTTGTCCAGTCGTGTTCGACTCTAGGGGGCGGTGCTCATCCCCGTTTCCAAGCCATAGAGCCAGTGTTTTGTCCGAAGACAATCTTCCATGATCACATGGCCAGTGCGACTTAGACACAGAATGCCGTTACCTTCCCACCGAGGTGGTCCCTATTTATCTACTTGCATTTGCATGTTTTCGAACCACTAGGTTGGCGGGAGCTGGGACAAGCGACGGGAGCTCACTCCTTTGCGTGGATTCGATCTTACGACTGCTGGTCTTCTGACCCTGCAGCACAGGCTTCTGCGGTTTAGCCCACAGCACCACCACGTCCCCCTGATTATTATGATGATGTATTTATTAACTAGAAATATTTATTTTCCATTTTATACCAAAAGATCTCATGATGTGTTACCGCTAGCTATTTAAAAACAATGAGAAACGGTTTAAATCATATAAAACAACATTGAGACCATTTAAAATTGTTTACTTGCAGCTGAACTTTACACCTTACTCTGCCCAGAATATGGGCAGTACATGACAATACATGAAGTTAGCACAGAACCTCTGCATTTTAGTGATCAAAGAACACACCAAAATGTAAGCTGGCTATTGCATTTTGCACCAGATATATGGTCCACTGTACCTTTACTTTCCACACTGGCCAAAAATCCAGCAGGATGCCATGGCCAAAGATCTCAAATGCCACTGTATAATCCAGCTGAGACTACAGTGATACATTCACACACACCCCTTCTGCTTCCTAATATAGGCAAATGACTAAAACTATCCCTGAACCTAGTTTATAGACCATGTAATTAATCAGAAGAGTCTTAGGACAGATCATATCCATCATGATCCACAAGAACACTACCATGCGGTAGAATCTCTTCCATTGGGTAAAAGAGGCACTGTTCCACCTCAGACTGAAGCTACCCAAACCAGCCTACTCTTGGCTGTCCTCTCACCAAAAGCACAGCCTCGACCCATGTGTGAACACATGCCTGTGTGTATATGAATATCTGCTTTTACTTCTGGCTTGCTTATGATAGTTTGTTCTGCCCTCCTCCACACTAATCACAATGAGCACACTCTGCCACTGCTACTCCATGTTTATTTTGGGCCACTGCCCACCTCTAAACTTGCTAATATTCTCGCATATTTTTCTTGTAATTTTATTGTACAGTGGTGATGGCAGATCAAAGCCAATTGCAATAAACCACATGGGAAGATTCAATAGACCGTGGCTGAAATCCCACTGGCATAAATATCCCTGCAGAAGGGAGATGATGTAATAAGCAGAGATAGATTTTTGGAAATTAAACAGTTCCTACTTCTATCCCACAGTTCACACAGCTCCTGTATAATCCCTTTCATCATGTGGAAGCCATGGGAATCATGGGATGGAAGGAGGAAGTCTTCAATTAAAAATCACTGCCATCAGGATGACATTACCAGCAGCAGGATCTTTAGATAATTAAAGACTTCCTCTACCCGTCCTGTAGTTCCATGGCTCAATGACAATTTTCTATCACAGAAAAGCAAGGAAACAGTTAATATATACTGATAAACCAAAGCCTGGTCTTTCTTGGAATCTCCTCTTGCATCTGAACCTGAGTTAGTTCAACACAGGAAGATGTTTTTATACTACCTTATACTACTTCTAGTTCTCAGAGTTCAGATGTGATGGGGATCTCTGGTTACTATGAAAGTATAATGCTTCCAATCATTTTCTTTGTTGAGAAGGAATAGATCTAGTACTAAGACTCACTATTGTAATACATGTATTACAATGCATTACAGCATATAATACCAGCCCATTGTTTACTTATAAATCCAGTAAATAAAGACAAGAATTTTGTGCACTGTTGATTTGGACATGCCAAAAAGATGATCAATTGTACCTTTTAATACATTAAGTACAAGGTTCTGCCATCTTTCTCTAAAATAAAAATAAATATGCAATAATATACCACAGTATATATCCCAAACTGTTTTGTATCATAACATCAAAATAACTTATAATGAAATATAAACTTTTCTAAGTGATAAATACCACATCTCAACTCATTTTCAATAATAGGCAAAACCCTACTATGTAAATTGGTACTGGTGTAAATTGCATTTACCCCTTCACAGATTGCTGCCTTGTTGTGGCAAAGAGACTTGAGTAACTCAGAGAAGCTATGGGCTATGCCGTGCAGGGACACCCAAGACGGGCAGGTCATAGTGGAGAATTCTGACTAAATGCGATCCACCTGGAGCAGGAACTGGCGTGCCACTCCAGTATCTTTGCCAAGAAAACTCCATTGATAGAAACAAAAGGCTAAAAGATATGACGCTGGAAGATGAGCCCCTCAGGTTGGAAGGCATCCAACATGCCACTGAGGAAGAGCGGAGGACAAGTACAAGTAGCTCCAGAGCTAATGAAGAGAATGGATCAAACTCCATGGACAGAAAGAAAAGGCTAACTATGGTTGGATGCCAATAACACTGTACAGGAGGCAGCAACAAAAACCATCCCTAAGCAAAGTGGCTGTCAAAGGAGGCCTTACAAATAGCAGAGAAGAGAAGGGAAACAAAATGCAAGGGAGATAGGGAAAGTTCCAGAAAACCGAATGCTGACTTCCAAAGAATAGCAAGGAGAGACAAGAGGGCTTTCTTAAATGAACAGTGCAAAGAAATAGAGGAAAACAACAGAAAGGGAAAAAACCAGAGATCTGTTCAAACATGTAGGAGATATTAAAGGAACATTTTGTGCAAAGATGAACATGATAAAGGGCAAAAATGGTAGGGACCTCACAGAAGCAGAGCACATCAAGAAGAGGTGGCAAGAATACACAGAAGAATTACACCAGAAAGATCTGGATGTCCCAGACAACCCAGATACTGTAGTGTGGTTGCTGACCTTGAGCCAGAGATCCTGGAGAGTGAAGTCAAGTAGGGCTTTGAAAGCCTGGCTAACAACAAGGCCAGTGGAGGTGATGGCAGTCCAGTCGAACTATTTAAAATCTTAAAAAATGACAACGGTAAGATCCTGACAGAAGAATTACACCAGAAAGATCTGGATGTCCCAGACAACCCAGATACTGTAGTGTGGTTGCTGACCTTGAGCCAGAGATCCTGGAGAGTGAAGTCAAGTAGGGCTTTGAAAGCCTGGCTAACAACAAGGCCAGTGGAGGTGATGGCAGTCCAGTCGAACTATTTAAAATCTTAAAAAATGACAACGGTAAGATCCTGGCCACTGGTCCCATCACCTATTGGCAAATGGAAGGGGAAGATATGGAGGCAATGACAGATTTTACCTTCTTGGGCTCTATGATCACTGCAGATGGTGACAGCAGCCACAAAATTAAAAGATGCCTGCTTCTTGGGAGGAAAGCGATGACAAACCTAGAGAGCATTTTAAAAAGCAGAGACATCACCTTGCTGACAAAGCTCCGCATAGTCACAGCTGTGGTTTTTCCAGTAGTGATGTATGAAAGTGAGAACTGGACCACAGTTCTCACTGACTGCCGAAGAATTGATGCTTTTGAATTGTGGTGCTGGAGAAGACTCTTGAGAATCCCCTGGACTGCAAAGAGAACAAACCTATCTGTTCTGAAAGAAATCAACCCTGAGTGCTTACTGGAAGGACAGATCCTGAAGCTCAGGCTCCAATACTTTCGCCATCTCATGAGAAGAGAAGACTCCCTGGAAAAGACCTTGATGTTGGGAAAGTGTGAAGGCGAGAGAAGGAGACAACAGAGGACAAGATGGCTGGGCAGTATCATCAAAGCTACCAACATGAATTTGACCCAACTCCGTGAGGCAGTGGAGGACAGGACGGCCTGGCATGTTCTGGTCCATGGGGTCACAAAGAGTCAGACACGACTTTATGACTAAACAACAAATTGGATTTGGGTACTGGGAACAATTAATTTAAATCAATTGAAAACTTCCTATGATTCTGTGATTCGTACCCCTATGTTTCACCTTCTGAAGCTCCCTAGGGCTCTCCTTTACCCTAGGGAAGACTCTGGAAGCTTTGGGACTTCCGAGGCGGGTTATTTTAAAAGTCAACAATTGCTGCCAGATCACTGCCATTGTGATCAGGACTGCCAATGGTTATCCAGCAGATTAATCAGATTAGACAATCAACAGCTGTTCTGCACTATCACTGTTTTCATGACTGTTTTATTAACACATTCACAATTTCAAGTGTTTTGCATCTAAATAAATATTTTGAACTCTCAAAATAGAAGAAATCAAAACATTTTTTTTTAAAAAAAAACCAAAGATGTTGCTATAATATTTGGCCTTACTAGCATTTTCATTTTCTGGCCAAAGAAGACAACTAAGAACATGGTGAGAACATAATTTAGTTTGCAAGGGAACTACCAACTTTAATACACTTATGAGAATAGGAGGTTCCCCCCCCCCAATTACCTGGCAGATTCCATATAATTGAAAAATACATTAATAATAACCTGAAACAAGAAGAGAAATTTAACAGAAGCACTCCTATGTTTCTAAGATTGCTTTTATCTTTTTATCATGGCATCATTAAACATTTTTAAGCCAATTGTCTCTGTGTTCTATGATAAATAAAGCAC